AAAAAAAAAAAAAAATTTAACAAGTACAATGGACAGATACTACCCAGGACATGTTTAGGATTCTTGAAGTCATAGGCATTCACTGTCTCTTAATTCTTGTATGGATTTACATTTTATTCGGGTACTTACTTTTGAGATTGCTGTCTAGCAGCAGTTGTCTGCTAGCAGGTGTCTAACCTGCTGTCTGCCCTTGTCATGTTGTGAACAGTATCCTAGGTCCTTCAGTGCTCTCCCTGTGTTCTTCCTGTGGTGGTCCTGAGGAACCAGCTCTGCGCCCAGGCCTCCCCCCACGGTGCGGTTCTTCATGTCCTCTGGCTGTGGCTCAGTCCAAGCTCCACTCCGTTCTTTCTCTTTTTCAGTTGCAGAAGCTGCTTCTTGCCACGTCCTCCCCAACGCCAAGCTCTGACATCCAGAAGGAAGGAACCACCTGGAGGCAGGCAGGCTCCAGGTCCAAAAGTCAGCGACCTTGTAACAAGGTATTTATTTCTTCACCTGCCCCAAAAGCTGCCCGGGACCCCAGATAGTTTCAGAGAACTCAGCCTTCAACTTTTGTTACATTGAACATTATGTGTCATTTTGTTAGGGGGTGTCAGGTACCTCAGTCAGCTTCCAGCATTTCTCCTTGCTCCTTACACACCTCTTGTAATTGGCTGAATGGGTATTCCTTCTTCAGACCCAGCCTAGTTTGGGGTTCTAGAAAGATCCTTGGACTCCCTTGTGTACTTTTTAATTTTTGGCCAAGAGCCTTCTATGTGGCAGACATGGTGCTAGACATTGCATTTGAGCAAGGAAAAAAAAAGATGTGGTCCTTCCTCTTGGGGCTTATAATCTAGTGAAATTACAGATCCAAGTTTAAAAACAAAAAGATGATTAAGTGATTAGAGCGAGGGGCTGGAGAGTGCACAGGACTGGGAGTGACAGGGGAAATGGGGTTATCAGGGAGGACTTCTGGAGGAGGTGACCTGCCAGCTGAGAGTGAGGGATGAAGAGGAGCCAGCCGTACTCACGTGGAGGGTGGGCGTCTGGCAGGTGAGAAGAGCAGTAAGGAGGCTGGTGCTGGTGTTGGCAGGGAGCAGTATAGACCCAAGAAAACAGAACTCAGATCATGGGGGCCACAGTATAGAGTTTGGATTTCTAGGAAGCCATTGGTGGGTTTAAAGCTCTCTTATGAACGAACATCCAGGATCAAAGCAAGTCCCTTGTACTGCCTGAGCTTCAGGGTCTACACTGAACCTGCCCTACCAGTCCCTTCAGGAAATGGTGCACACAGCTCCCTACCTCAGGGGCCAAGTTGGAATAGGGGTTGGTTTCGTGCCCAGGTGTCTCTATGTAGAAGCCTCTCCCTTGCTGGGCTCCCCTGAGGTGCTCTGCCCTACTGATCCCACTGAGCCCCTGAAACACAGGCTCCTTTCCACCCTAGAGTAGAGGTGACAGCCGAGCCCCTTTGTTAGGCCAACAGGAAGTGCCTCAGAGAGGTGAGGCATAGGGTAGCCACTGTGGCCCCCGGCAGACTATACAGCCTGCCCCAGGCGGGTGGGTGGGAAGAATAAGGCTAGAAGAGGGACTGGCTGTCACCAGATTGCAGTCTCCAAATGAGACCAAGGAGCTTCCCCTTTTTCACGTGGGCTCTGGGAAGCTACAGAATGGTTTGGTTGGTTGGTTTTTGTTTTGTTTTGTTTAACATTGTTGTTGTTAAGTGCCATCGGGTTGACCCATAGCGACCCCGTATAGGGTTTCCAAAGAGCAGCTGGTGAGCTTGAACCACTGACCTTGCAGGTCTAACAACTTTGCAGTCTGACATGCATTAGCCCACAGCGCCACACCAGAACATCACGTGTCATAAAATTCACCTGTTATTCCTAATGGGAGATAGCTAATGGATATTGGGTGTTTTGGTTTGTCTTGAGGTGATGAAATGTTCTAAAACTGATTGTGAAGATAGTTGCACACTATTTAAATTTACTAAACAAGTTGAATTGTGCATTTTAAAATGGATGAACTGCTATTTTCAAAAAGAAAATCACCTGTTTTAAAAATACAAACCAGTGAATTGTTTCTTCAGTAAATTTACAATTGTGCAACAAAGACCAGGGTGGTGGTGGTGGTTATGTGCCGTAGAGTTGGTTCTGACTCATAGAGATCCAGTATAGGGTTTCTGAGACTGTAACTCTTTACAGAAGCAAGAAAGCCTCATCTTTCTCCCGCGAAACAGTTGGTAGTTTTGAACTGCTTACCTTGAGGTTAGCAGCCCAACTTGTAACCAGAAACTACTTAACCAAGACCATAGTCCTGTTTTGTAACATTTCCATCGTACCAGAGACATTCCTGGTGCCCCCATTTCCAGCTAACCGCTGTTCGCCCAGCCCCAAGCACTTACCAGCTCCATTACAGAAGGGATAGAGCATGCTGGTGGGAGGGGGCTCAAACGTTGGCAGTGAATCTGGAAGGGTCTACAGGAACCAGATCTATGGCAGACAGACCTTCCAGGAGGCTGGTCATCCCTTTATTCCTCATTGACCAAGCACCTACCAAGTGCCAGGCTATGTGCCAGAGACCAGGACACAGTAAAGGAAACCTGGTTGTTCTGTGTCCCCGATGAGAAACTCTGGGCCCGCCAGTGGCTGCAAGGATGGGGCAGCAGGGAGGAGCAGCGTGGGCCCCTCCCCTGACACTGGCCTCTTTCCTTCTCTAGATGGACAGCATCCAAGACAAGAAGACTCCCCTGGCCCAGTCTCAGAGCCGGAGCTGCACAGAGCTACATAAGCATCTCACCGCCATGCTGTCCTGCCCCCAGGCTAAAGCCCACTCCCCAGAGAGGGGCCTGCAGCCGCCACCCCCCATGAGCCCCCAGATTCAGGCTGGGGAGGATGAGGAGCTGGGTGAGGACTGCCCAAGCCCCCAGCCAGCCCCAGCCTCTCCCCAGGACTCTCCGGCACCAGGCAGGACAGGCTCCAGTGCCCAGGTTTCCCAGGAGGACATGCAAGCAGTGGTGCAGCTGATCCGCTATATGCACACTTACTGCCTCCCCCAGAGGAAGCTGCCCCCACAAGTCCCAGAGCCTACCCCCAAGCCTTGCAGCAGCCCCTCCAAGCAGGTCAGAGCCCGGCCACGGTCCCAGCACCCCTCCAAAGCCTCCTGGGCTGAGTTCTCCATTCTGAGGGAACTTCTGGCTCAAGATGTCCTCTGTGATGTCAGCAAACCCTACCGCCTGGCCACGCCCGTCTATGCCTCGCTCACACCCCAGCCGAGGCCTAGGCCCCCCAAGGACAGCCAGGCTTCTCCTGGCCACCCAGCCCCAGTGGAAGAGGTGAAGATCACAGCTTCACCCAAAAGCATGGGGCCCAGACCGAGCCTGCGACCACTGCGGCTGGAAGTGAAAGGGGAGGCCCACTCGTCTGCCAGGCTGCAGCAGGAAGAGGAAGAGGAAGAGGAGGAAGAGGAGGAAGAAGAAAAGGAAGAGGAGGAGGAGGAAGAATGGGGCAGCAAAAAGCAGGGCCGTGGCCTGCCATGGACCAAGCTGGGCAGGAAGCTGGAGAGCTCTGTGTGTCCCGTGCGGCGGTCCAGGAGGCTGAACCCTGAGCTGGGGCCCTGGCTGACATTTACTGATGAACCCCTGCACCCCACAGAACCCCAAGGTGCTCTGCCTTCACTGGGCCTGGCTCCCGAGGCCTACGACATGGAGCGGGAGCTGGGCAGCCCTGCAGATGAAGAGAGTGGCCAAGACCAGCAGCTCCTACGGGGACCCCAGATCCCAGCTCTGGAGAGCCCCTGCGAGAGTGGGTGTGGGGATACAGATGAGGACCCCAGCTGCCCGAGGCTCTCTTCCAGAGGTAGTCACAAGAGAGGGGACAAGGATGGAGTGGGGTAAACCCCACTGGACAAGAGGCAGGAGTCCTGTGTTCAAGTGTCACCCCCCCACCCCCACTCTCACCCCCATGTTGTGCTATACTGGGCAAGTCCTCTCTTATCTCTGGCTCTCAACTTGCCTTTCTGTACACTGGGATTGTTGGGACAGACTTCCAGGATATGCTCGTCTGTCTCACGAGTGTTTCATCACGCATGGGCCAGGCACCATTTAATCAACAAGAAGCAAGATGCCTGCCTTCTTGGGGCTTGTGTTTTAGTGGGGACCACAGGCACACAAAAAAAGGACACAAAAGAGGAAGATAATTATACGTTGAGATAAGTGCTATTAAGAAAGTTTACTGAGTAATGTGACAGAAGTCGATAAATTCAACTTCATAGTGAAGTTGTTCTTTTTGTTAATTGCCAGCTCTGAGAATAGTGAAGATAATAAGGATCCTGTTGATGTGATCTTTTTGTGCGCTCACTGTACCAGGCACTGGTCTAATATTTAGCAGATCACTTCCATGCACTCCCCACAGCAAGCTTATGTGAGAATCCTGTTATTATCCCTGTTTTAAGATGCAGAAACTCAGGCACAGAAATATTTTCTGATCAGCCCAGCTAGTTAGCCCGGCATTTGTCTCATTAGTGCCAGAGCCAAGATTCAAACCCACACACACAGCTGCTGAGCGTGGGTGCTGGAACCCTTCACACTGTGCTACACGATTTGGCCAGCAGGGGTCACCCTCAGACCACACCTGCTCTATTTTTGTAAAAGCAAGTCACTGGCTTCAATCAGTCCTTACTGTTGCTAAGATTTGGGCGGAGAAGGTAAATCTGAGTTGTTTGCACCCTCCCCTGAAAATTGCAAGGACATTTGTATTTGGGTCACATGCCTGAAAAGCAGCTGTGCTTAGTTCCTAGGGAAGTTTGGGGTTCCCTTCCAGAGAAGAAACATCCGCTCGTGCTGTTGTGTTGGAAAATCTTATTTTCTTTTTCTTTTTATTGTCTCCTTTTCAGACTCTCCCAGGTGCCTCATGCTGGCCTTGTCACAAAGGTAGATTTTTCGAAATCATTGGTAGCTTATTCCATGAGACTTTGTGTTGTTGGGTATCTGCGGGGATGTAGGTGGGTGGTGGGTGGTGAGTCCGTCAATCCTCATGCCTGGCTTGGTCCCCAGACCCTGGCCGTGATTGCCCTGTGGGTTCCTCAAAGCCGGGCTCTCTGAGAGGGAAGTTTGCCTTTAGAAGCAGGTCCCCTGTAAGCCCAAAGGAGAGATGGGGAGTTAAGACCTCAAGTGATTCCACACATTGTTTTCTCTGGGACACTTGAGTGACTTTTCTCCATGGGGAAGAGCTGACACTACTGTGTGGTGTTGGGCAAGTTCTTTTCCCACACTGGGTCTCAGTTGCTCCATCTGTAAAACGGTGACGCTTCTCCCTCTCCAACCTCCAGCAAATCTCTGCTGTATCTCCTAAAAGAGGGATTCCGCTTTGAGTCACTGTGACAGTCAGGACAGGGCCCCTGCAAACTCTCCCCTGGCCCCATTTCTGTGAGCAGTGGGACTGGAGTCCATCCTAACCTGCCCTCACCCTGCTTGAGTGCCCAGGAAGGTGGGAGCCTGATGCTAACCAGCCTCTTCCTTTTCTGTCCTACCTGGCCCCATCAGCGACCCTCCCTTTGGCAAGAAGAACTTCGAGCAGACTTTGACGGTAGAACTCTGTGGAACAGCAGGTGAGCCAGGGGTCCAGCTGGTGGGGTCCCCTTTGAGGAAGACCCCTTGGTAGAAAATCATGCATCCTGAGCAACACCTCGGGCCGACCCCATCATCACTCCACAGGGCATGCTGGGTGTTAAGATCCTCAGTGATCGGCGAGTGATGCCTGCCATCACACTGGGTGGACGGAATAGTGACCATCCCAGACGAGGGTCTTAGTGTCCATTGGAGAAGTGACTGGTCTCCACTTCATGTGTTTCTCCTCTTGTCTGGGTAGGCCTCACCCCACCAACCACGCCCCCTTACAAGCCCACAGAGGAGGACCTTTTCAAGCCTGACATCAAGCACAGCCTGGGCAAAGACACAGCTCCCAGCCTCCCCTCCTCTGAAAGCCTCCAGCTCGGGGTCACCCCAGGGGCTGCCCACAAGCTGCCAAAGAAGCATCCAGAGCGTAGCGAGCTCCTGTCCCACCTACGGCATGCTGCGGCCCTGCCGGCCTCCCAGGCTGGCCAGAAGCGTCCCTTCTCCTGTTCCTTCGGAGATCATGACTACTGCCAGGTGCTGAAGCCGGAGGGTGCCCTGCAGAGGAAGGTGCTGAGGTCCTGGGAGCCATCTGGGGTGCACCTTGAGGACTGGCCCCAGCCAGGTGCCCCGCGGGCTGAGGCCCCAGCCTGTGTCAGGGAAGACGACAGGAGCTGGGATGCCAATGCCGCTCCCAAGGACAGTATGTTGTTGAGAGACCACGAGATCCGCGCCAGCCTCACCAAGCACTTTGGGGTCCTGGGAAGCGCCCTAGAGGATGAAGACCTGGCCTCATGCAAGAGCCCCGAGTACAACACCGTCTTTGAGGACAGCAGCAGCAGTAGTGAGAGCAGCTTCCTCCCAGAGGAGGAGGAGGACGATGAGGAGGACTCAGGGGCCAGCCCCCCTCGCTCTGACCACTGCCCCTACCAGAGTCCCCCCAGCAAGGCCAATCGGCCGCTCTGTTCCCGCAGCCGCTCCAGCTCTGGCTCCTCCTCTTGCCGCTCCCGGTCACCAGCCACACGGAGGACCTTCAGGTATGGACAGTAGCTTCTGGGTGGGGAGAGGCAGCGGGGGGAGCTGTAGACAACTGAGGACCCTGGTTCCTGGGCTGCATCTCCCTGTGTGATGCATATCCTGGCCAGGAATTTGAAGTCTAGTCTCTTTGGAGGAATTGTGAGCAAGTCTTGGAGGCCAACCAAGCCTGGTATGTGACATCCAGGCATGTCCCTAGTCCCTGACCTCCAAGAGAAATTAAACTCATTTCCAGACATCAAGCCTCTTGTCGGAACCAGCTCACCCTACTTGAGCTGAGCTGTTGTATTTGTACAAATGATTTGTTCTTAAGTGCCACCTAGTTGGTTCTGACTCATAGCAACCCTATATAGGGTTTCTGAGGAGTGGCTGATGGGCTTGAACCACCAACCTAGTGGTTAGTTGTCCAGTGCTTGCTTATTCTACAGCACCAAGCAGTTTAAAAACTACATGGCATTTACACGTCAGAGAAAGATTGACTTAATTCTAATCTGTGTTGGGGGCGGGAAACACCTGGATTTAAAGCAGTGGGAACATCTATGCCCGTTTCTCAGTCCTGCCTAGTTCTCCCATGACTTCCAGTAGGCAGCCACCTCCAAGAGTTCCCCTACTTTGGTGTAGGAATGATGCATCATAAGCCTGTAGACTTATACCATCCTTCCGCACTGAGCCAGATTGGAGAAGGAGTCGACCCAAAATTCACCTAGGGAGCTGGGTAGAAAAACTGGAGCTTGGCACATATGTTGGCCGCCGGTTGCTTCTCAATCACACAGGGCCTGATTCTTTGTAGGAAGGCTTGAAGAGGAAGCCTGTACCTTAGGTTTACCTGATAGACCACTAGATGGTGCTCTTGGGTCAAGAACAATGCAGTTAACATCTCTGGAGGTCAGTTAAAACACATGCTGACTCCACTGTCTGATTCAATAGGTCTGATGTGGCCTGCAGAATTTGCATTTCTCACAAGTTTCCTAGAGATGTCTCCAGCGTACCATATTTTGAGACCAGAATTCGGAGGACTTAAAGATATCCTATCCTAGAAAAAGGCAGCTTTGTGTTTATATGAAAAGATGTTTACAAGCTACACCAATGGCTCATAAGTGTTTCAAAATTCTATTAAAGGCCCCTTTCACTATTAAAATGTACATATATATCGGACTGTGCCGTGATTTCAAGAGGTTCACAGATGCCCCAGAAACTCAGGTTAAGAAGCCCTGAACTATCAAAATAAGAGTCCCTAGCGACAGCTCTAACAAGACAACCAGAAGCCAACAGTTAGCATCTTCTTACATCAGATGTCCCTGAGCCTCTCTTCTGACCCCATTCTGCATCCCCCTGTGATGGCACCTGCCCTATAGCCCTTTGCAGTCAAGAGTTCTCTGGCCATGCTTGGCTGTGACTAAGTTGCTCCCTCTCATGGTTAGCAGTTTCCTCTGTGGTAACTGCTAAAGCAAGGTGCCTTGTGGTTAAGTGAGTCCCCCAAGGCCAGAGCTGGAGGCTTACCTTCAGGGTTGTTTACTTACAAGGCAGGTATCAGGAGCTCTCCAGACTGGAGCTGGGGACCTCTCTAGAAACCTCAGAATTCTCCTTTTTCTCTTCTCAGATATGGGCCAGGCTCAGGCTGACTTTTTCTGCTCACTGAGATAGTTAGTTGGACAATTTGGTTTCTGCTCAGTTGCCTAGCAAAGGTTAGTACCTGGTGATCCTGATAAACCTAGTAAACAGCCTTCTCCAGACTGTTTATTTGCCTGTGTTTCAGCTACCAAACAGAGATCAATAAGAAGGATTTTGAGCTTGTTTAACCACAGGAATCCAAAGTCCCACAATGTGTTCCATTTGCTCTAAGCTTTTCAGGTGGGGAAGGTCTCCCAGTAATATTATAAATGGAGAGTGATAATATTCGTTGTTGCTTCCGACTCATTATGACCCAGTATAAGGAGTATGGTATGGCACAGCGGGTTAATGCGCTGGACTACAAAGTTCCAGCCGCTCCTTAGAAACCCTATACAGGGTCACTGTGGGTCGGAACTGAATTGCCGGCACATAACAAGAGCAAGCTTTCCAAGGAGCAGCTGCTTTAAAGTTTGTAAGTCATATCCCTTTGGTTATTCTATATGAGCTTCACAGGTGTACTTGGGCGACACATCTGTTTCTTATCCTCGTTTTATAGTTGAGGAAGCTGAGGCTCAGAGAGATTAAATAGGGAAATGTATTAAAGTTGTTCCTAGGCTAAGCATTTACAGGCACTTTCTAATTTAATCTCACGAATGGCCCAGATGATGGGTACATTTTTTACAGATAAAGAACTGAAGCTGAAAGCATTTAAGTAACTGGTCCAAGGCTACCTGGCAGGTAGCTGGAAGAGTCAGAATTCAAACCCAGGCCATCTGACTCAGCACCCATGTTCTTAGCCTCTGGGCTGTTTTCCCAAGGGAACACAGACACTAACTATGTAGTAGAGTCAGGACCAGCCAGCCCTGCCTCACTCACACCCCTCAAATTGTCCCTGTGGAGAAGTGCAGGCAGCACAGGTAGGCGAGTAGGGCTGCTGATGGGGAAACCAGGGGCCTCCGCAGGCTCATGGTCTGTTCAGTTAGCCTGGTGCCCTGACTGAGTCCAGGAAGTTGTGCTAGGCAGGGGTTGTCCATGACCAACCAGTGGAAGCAGTAGGCCTAGAATCAGAAGACCTGCTCCCAGCTCTGGCTTCCCAGCCTTCTAGCTTCAGACAAACCCCATAATGAATCTGAACTTCAGGTTTCTCATCTGGAAAAATGGGGAACCACAAAGGCCACATAGGTCTTTTTCAGTAGATCAAATAAAATAATAGATCTAAAGGGGCTCTTTGTACCTTTTTTGTACATAAAACCGGCAAGTCAGTTCTGACTCACAGTGACCCCACAGGACCATGTAGGACTGTTACATAGGGTTCCCAAGCTTATAAATCTTTAAGGAAACAGACTGCTTCATGTTTTGCCTGTGGATTGGTGGATGGGTTCAATTCCGTTGACCTTCCAGTTAGCAGACCAGCACTTAACCCATGGCACCCCTGGACTCCTTCCCCATGGCACAGCAGGTTTTAAAAGGCTGGCAGAGGAAAGCAGAGAGGTGCCGGTCAGTGTGCAGGCCCACCTTGCCCTGGCTGTCACTGCCCGAGTGGTAAAGCTGATTTTCTGCAGGAGGAACTTAAAGCATTTCTGCTATCATTCGTGAGCCCCAGAGAAGATTCCTTTGCCTCCTAGGGGGACCCTGACCCCTGCCCCATCACTGTCACCCCCTCCCGAGAGTGAGTGCCTCTGCTTTGCTTGTTCACTGACAGATGTGAGAGCAGGAGGCCGTGCTCAGACGGAACGCCAAGCGTCCGGCATGCCAGGAAGCGGCGAGAAAAGGCCATTGTAAGTGATCTGGGGCCCCGGAGCCCTGAGTGACTGGGGACCAGCAGGGCACCAGGAGGTGCTGGGGCTTCGTGGGCCCGAAGCCCTTTGAGGCAGGCTGGTGAGCCCCTCAACTGCAGTGTCCTGGGGAAGGAGGGTCGAGGCCTGCAGAACATCAGTTTTCTTTCTTTCATTTGAAAAGTTCAAAGATCACCAGAGGGCATTAAAGGGTGGCCCTTTGAAAAGTGCAGCCACGAGACTGGCCATGAAGCATGTCGTTGCTGGTGACATAGGGCTTCGTTGCAGGGCTCTCTATGAGGCAGAGGGGAAGCAGGCTGTGCAGGGGAGCAAAACCAGCTCCACCACCCACAACAGCCTGGCTACCAATTTCTCTGTGACTTTGGGCAGGTCTCCCTTCTTCCCCGAGCCTCAGTTTATTTATCTCTACACAAGGGAGTTGGGCCATGTGCTTCCTAAGGCTTCCCCTACCCCATCAGAGCAGCGAGACCAAGAGATCTGCCCCTTCCTTCCCACCTGCCTCCTCAGCTCCTGCCTAGCCTTGGTCCACAGGTCCTGGCTTTGGGGGCTAGCCTGGAGAACCTACTGCAAACCACCCTATGAAAACCACACTGCCCCACGGAGCCCTTCTGAGTCACGAGCAAGGAGGGGAAAGAAAGTAGGACAGACGCCTCAAAAGACACACACCCACTTAATATCCCCCCATAATGTGGTACTTCTAGTGGTGCACACCCTAAAGTCACACAGCTGTGTGAAAGCAGGTCTTCAGAACCGCAAGTTGCCGAGACAGCATCTTGGAGCTCGTGTTAGATCACTCCGCAGTTAGCATATGCCCGGCACTCTCTGGGCCTGGACAGCCAGACAGTGGCCCCCTCTCCCATGGTTGGGACTGAAAGGAGAGGGAAACAGTAGGTTCAAAACGGGGGAGCAAGCTTGTATAATTACAGGTAGGCATGCCTGCTCTGAAATGGGTACTGTGACTGAAATGATAAGTTGTGTTTTGACTGGTGAGGAGGACATTTTACCTAGGTGGCCAAGGAGGGGGTTTCTAAAACTTCTGAGGCCTGAGGGATGAAAGGAGCCAACCAAGCAAAGACTTGGGGGAAGAGTGTTTGGGGCAGAGGTAGGAGGGAGCTTTATGAAGGAAGGAACTGGAGGTGGGCAGTGTTTGTGATGAGTTAAATGAACCTAGACATACATGCTTTGGTGTTAGGCGCTCAATTCACGTGACTCTTGACAGCAGAGTCCTGCTTGCAGACCCCGGGCCCGGACTTTCTTCCCTGACATCTGTAGCATGGGGTGGAATGACTGGAGAGTCCATGGCTGTGACCTGTTTCCAAAGAAAGCCATTTCCTAACCCAACTGCCATCTTTGCCCACGAGAGCACAGGTTTCTAGGAGAAAGGTTGGAGGATCTCCAGCATGGCAGAGCTACTCTTCCAGCAGCCGTGGCTTTAGCTGGACCAACTCAAATGGGGAGATGGTGGTTTCTGCCTGGGCTCCCCACTCCCCCCTCAGTCAGGCTGTTCTAGGGGCTGGGACATAGCACAAGGCTTGCCTGGAGGTGACTTTGTTTCCCAGTGTCTACACTGTGCCTTCAGACACTCCGCCCTGGCAGAACCAGAGCGGGTGGGCATATGACTGTAATCCCCCCAATGCCCCGTCCATTTGCCTTTCCTTCCAGTGACTCCGGAAAGCCACCCAGCTCCCCATCCTTACCTATTACCATTCTCTGTACCTCACGGAACCACCCCCAACACCTTGCCATTACAATAACAGCAACAACAACAACAAAGTCTTAGACTCAGAGACAAACATGGAAGCTCCTGACAGTTCCAGTATATGAGTGGTGATAAGTTCTCTCCCTCCTCAGCCTAGTCTCAGTCTATTTCTGCCAAGTCCTACAAAGAGAGACTTGCCTACTTTTGGGGATCACTTCCCTGTCTGACACTCCCCAGTCCCTCCTCCCATCACGTCAGGTCCTACTGCCCTTTCTCGGCCTCCAGCCCCACAAAGTGTCAAGACTGGGGATGAGGATACTATGGAATCCACCACCAAGGGGACCCAAGATGCCAGGCAGTGACTGGACTCCTCTGTATCCCCCCTTCCTGAGCAGGGTGAAGGCCGGGTTGTGTACATTCGAAATCTCTCCAGCGACATGAGCTCTCGAGAGCTGAAGAAGCGCTTCGAGGTGTTTGGCGAGATTGTAGAGTGCCAGGTGCTGACGAGAAGCAAGAGGTGAGTCCAGTTAAGTCCTTCTGGGAGTGGGGGTGAGGTGGGGGGGGCAAAGTCCTAGAAGATGCCCTAGAATGTTTGTGAAACAAATTTCACCAAAACCCACAGCGTAGACATGGAGACCCAGTCCCCAGAGAGGACCCTTTAAGGGTGATCATTGTTGATAAGTGCCACCTAGTAGATTCCAACTCATAGCAACCCTGTATAGGACTTCCAAGGAGCAACTGGTGAGTTTGAACCACCAATCTTTCAGTTCAAACCAACCGTGATGTCCAGTGATTATCCTACAGTGCTGCAACCCCAATAATAGCAGTGAGCAAGATCTGATTATTTAAGGAGTGTATTGTAGCTTCCTAGCGTTGCTGTAAGGAGCTCTGGTAGTGTAGTGGTTACAAAATCGGGCTGCGAACCTCAAGGTCAGCAGTTCAAAACTACCAGCTGCTCCGCGGGAGAAAGATGAGGCTTTCTGCTCCTGTAAAGATTTACAGCCTCGGAAACCCTGTACAGGGTCGCTATGAGTCGGAACCGACTTCACGGCACACAGCCACCACCAGTGTTGCTGTAATAGATAAAACGCATGTGGGTGGCTTTAAAGAACAGAAATTTAGTTTCTCATCGTTCAGGAGACTAGAAGTCTGAATTCAGGGTGCCAGGTCTAGGGGGGTCGGATGATTCTTTTCTTGCAGTGTGCTTTACTTCCTTGGTGATCTTAATGCAACATCTGCTCATTTGTGCTTGTTTTGGGGGCTGCTCCTTAGAACTCAGCGGTGATTAGGTTTAGGACACACCCTACAATGATTTGGCCTCAGAGACATAACAGAAAAAACCCTAATCCAAATGAGATTACAGCCCCAGTTGAATGGGTTATGATTCCAACACATATTTCAGAGGGAGTTAGGGGACACACAGGCAATCCATCTATAACAGTGCCCGACAGTTTCTCTTATTAAACTTTGTAACAAATACGCTCTACTCATCCTTTCTATTGCTCTCCTTTCTGGGGGAACTCAGAAAACATGAATAGCTAGTTAGTGTGGCAGAGTCAGAACTGATGGTGGTGGTGATCATGTGCCACCAGGTTGGTTCCAATTCCTAGCACCCCTGTATAGTGTTTCTGAAGCTGTAAATCTTTATGGGAGCAGAAAGCCTTATCTTTCTCCCATGGAGCAACTGATAGATTTGAACTAGTGACCTGGTGGTTAGCATCCCAGCTCATAATCCACTATACTACCAGGGCTCCTCAGAGCCAGAACTAGAACCCATGAATGTGCTTCTGATTTGGTGGCTGGAGACGGGAGCAGCACACACCTGTGGCTGACCTCAAGCTCACTTGCATTGGGAGCTCACTGCACCTCAAGTTCCGCGTGGTCTATGTCCACCTGGTCCTGTGCAGTGAGAGTCCCAGGTCTCCTGTTCCCCCTCAATGGGGAAGCAGCGCTTCATCCATCAGGGGACCTGGGAAGAGAGCAGCCTGCATATAAATCGACAACTGAAGTGTCAAAAACTGTCAGTTTGGGAATCTTCCTCAATTATTTCCCATTATACCTACAGACTAAGTTAATAACAGTCTTAAATTTGAATTTAAAATTATTTTAAAATGTTAATGAATAAACAGTTACGTAAGTAAGAGTCTGCACACCAATAGGTCTTTAACGAATCAAATGGAGGTAACCCATAAAGACAGAGGAGCCTGGAGCACTGAATTTTGGTTTAAGGTTGATGGGAATATCGCATTGATTGAAAATCGGGATGCATAGATGATCCATGTAACTGCTGTCAATAACTACACCTATGAAAAATGGAATTGGCAAAAATTGTGTGCTAGATCTATTTATATTAACCCATAAAAATGGCATAGAGGCCACGTCTGACCTCTGACTTCACAAGGGGATAGGAGAAGTCAAACTCAGCATCAGCCCAAGGCTGATCCTTCTGCGGTAGAGGTCAGACATAGCTCCAGCTTCCCCTGTCTACTTCCCTGCTGGCTTCAATACCTCATTGTAGTAGCTGCACAGAACTCATAGACAATACTCATGAAGGTGACCGGTTACAGTTCATGATCAGAAATGCTCAGGATACAGTTCTTCTGGTCAAGAGTGCCTCTTCTCAGTCATGCTGCCTCTTCTCTGACCCCTGGCCTTTCAGCCACAAGGACCCTTGACCTCTGCCCTGCTTTGGTACTGCTACAAAGCTGTTAGCACTGCCAAAGGCTTGCCACTCCACGAGTAAGCCTCAGCCCGATAGGGATGGGCTGTAACTCTGTGGGTCAGCAAACCTAGCTCCCTAGATTAAGTGCCTGGAAGTAATCCAATGGGAAAATGAGCCTTCTGCCAGAATACACTCAGCTTTCTCACTCTGGGCCGAGAAGCCTACCACTGTGTCTGTATTCTCGGTGCGGCCGCCTCTCTGCTGTCTCTCACTGTCTCCGCTGTCTTCTGGACCAAGGAGGTTCAGTACGCAGCAATCTTGGGATCCAAAGGATGCACTCTGCTCTTGGCGCTTTTTTCTTGATGGTAATGAGATCCCCCGCCCCCAATTCCTGCTTCTGAGATGGCTCACTTTATATCCAGCAGGATGACAAAATTGACCAATCTCTGTGTTAGAGTTCAAAGTTTTCAGTCACAATTAACCCTGTTAACAGTCACTCACAACAGAATCATATAATCTTATCAGCATTTTTCCCATCTTCTCTTACCCAGACCCATTAGGAGACGAGGAAATAACATCCATCTGCTGGATCCCTCCCAGTTATTTGGTGGGAGTTATACAAAGACTGTAGCTAGAAGCTCTGGTAGCATAGTGGTTACCAGTCAGGCTGCTGATCTCACGGTCAGCAGTTCGAATCTACCAACCATTCTGCAGGAGAAAGATGAGGCTTTCTGCTCCTGTAAAAAATTATAGCCTTGGAACCGACTCCACAGTATTTAACAACAATAGTTAGAAGAGCCATATCAGTTGAATCGCTGCACCATACACAAAACAAGAGCAGCTGCTGTGAGGCTACTTGTGTACAACTAAACACCTCATGGAATGTGGTTTTGTGATTTCAAGGGTTAAGAGTCATGGTTTCATGGGACAGCCACCAGTTCATTAGCCTTTTATCATGCTTAGTGCTTCTGTTCTACCTCCTAGTTCATTGTGTGGTTCCTAAGGTCTTAAAAGCTTACAAGTGAACTTCCAAACCAAAATAATAAGTTTGATTCTCCTGGAGCAATAGAGGAAGAAAGAGAATCAAGAATCAGTGACAGAAATGGAATACAGGTCTAGTTGCCTCCATGAACAAATGCCTCCTTTGTCATGAGACCACAGAGCTGTGGTGCTTGCCTACCATTATTGAATGTTTTGATAAAAGATTCTATAGAAGAACCTACTCAAAAGGGAGGAAATGCAGGACAGAATTTCTCATCTTCATGGAATTCAAACATTTTGGAGCCATGGAGGCTGGATGAGACCCTGAAATTATTGTTGTGAGATCATCGTTAAACCTTAAACACTTACAAATATCCCTGAAATCTTCTTAAAACCAAGTAGTAATTTAGATTGACTAGTGAAGACGGTCTGCCTTGAGCATTGTGTTATTTAAACATGTCAGCTTGAGCCTCAAGGTCAATAGTTCAAACCCACCCGTCGCTGCTTGGAAATCCTGTATAGGGTCGCTATGAATTGGAACTTACTCAACAGCAATTAACAATAAACAACAATGATCTCTATAGGAGTCCTGGTGTGGCACTGTAGGATAAACACTGGACCACAAGATCGCTTTAAACTGCAAAGTTGGCAGTTCACGGTCACCAGCCATTCCTTAGAAACCCTATGCAGGGTTGCTATGAGTTGGAACTGACTCAGCGGCACTTAGCAACAACAACAACATCTACATGGGATAAAATTTACAACAGCTTAATGGATTAGATGGGAAACTTAGGCGGCAGTGAGTTTATGTTCCAGAAGGACAAGCATCTCAGCAAAGGAGGGTGAGAATGCTTGTGCTACTTGAAGAACATGATTGATGTCATTTAATTGTACACGTAGAAATTGTTGAACGGATGTGTATTCTCAACAACAACAATAACAATTGCTTTTAGAAACTCAACAAAAGGAGCAAATTAATCTCTAAAAGTGGGGCCAATTTGATGAAAATTTAAAAAGCACATGCAAGATCTTTAAAAAGATAAAAGGCTGGGGCAGAGTACTGGTTTTAGACATTAAACGAGGCAGGAGGATTCCAACCTGGTTTTGGCTCAATGCCAAGAAACGTGACTTTGTTGAACATTTATTATAACATTAGCTATGAGCCTGTCCTTAGCAGTGGGAAGCGCCACCTTGCCTCTCTGCTCTTGAGTTTATAGGTTAGCAGGTATATGTATCAGTCAGGATTCTTTCTGCTGTCATTTGTGAAACTGACTTTAGGCCTCAAGTGTCCTCACCATTACCCTCTGCCTTGGCACCGTGCTCACGTGGGTTTTCCCCACAGTGACAAAGTGGCTGCTTCTTGCTAAGAAGCTTAGAGACCACAACCTACTAGCTTAGAGACCCTGGCTCCAGTGAATTCCTTCACTCCCTGTTCCACTGAAGACCTGCAGTGGATTCTTTGGGGTTCAGCTTGGGTGATAAGCGTATTTAAAGAAATCACTGTGGCCAAGGACAACCGCAATCCCATGATTTTCCTTCACATCCTGAGTTGGGTCAACCCAACAGTACTGTTATAACAGATGTCACCCATGAAGGATAAGATGTGTACAAAGTACCAATGATGTTAGGTAAGGTGAAGGCCAAGTTAGAGTCAAGAACGTGGTATCGGAGGCCAGCTTTGAAGAATGTACTGAATTTCAACCAGGGAGTGATCCGATGGAGAGGAGATGTGACAAGAATAGTGAGGGAATGAGGGAAGGTTCAGAGCATCAACTTTAATGTCAGGAATGTCTGAGTTTGGATTCCTGCACTACCCTTTTGCCTTTGGGCCAATTATTAAACTCCACAGAGCCTGCTTCTCTGTGACTTAGAGGTGACAACAATCCCCACCTCACAGGGTCTTCTGAAGAAGGCAGAGGCTGTGTGTGGTGGTTGACACCTGGCAGTCAAGAAATTAGCTGCTGTTGTTACCTTGCAGGGGTCAATGTAGGAATTGTCATCATCTACACTGACTCAGTGACATGGTCCCCTCTCCTCCCTGCAGAGGCGAGAAGTATGGCTTCATCACCTACCGGTGTTCCGAGCACGCTGCCCTCTCTCTGAGGAACGGCGCTGCCCTGAGGAAGCGCAACGAGCCCTCCTTCCAGCTGAGCTATGGAGGGCTCCGGCATTTCTGCTGGCCCAGATACACTGACTACGGTAAGCACACGAGACCGCGCCAGAGCCCAGCAACTCCCAAAGCATGAGGGATAGTAGCTTCCTTTAATGAAATCCGGGCTTCACATCCAGGCCCCAAAGTGCTGACTGGTATGACTTTGAACCACTTCACCTGGAGTGGTTTTTCTTCTAGTCTCTGGTTTTTCTTGTCTTGTGCCAGGATTGATACCAAAGAGAGATTCATTCAGGCCTCCATTACCTCACAGGACCGGCTGCCACCTGCCTTCATGAGCGGGCATTTTATGATGACTCACCCCTCACAGAGCAGCCTTGTCCCTGAGTAGACCATTGAAAATGTGCTGTCACCATGGTCTTGCATTTGGGGACAAGTTGGGTGGAGAAAAAGTAACGTTTAGGAAAGAGTAACTTGGCAGAGGGCAGGGGAAACCATCTGATGTAGTTCCATGGCTGGGGGTCAGGAGACCCAGAAGGCTCTATCTGATTACATGTCCATTTATGGAACTCAGTTTCCCTCTGTTTACGATGAGGGCATTCTAGTTTTGTTTGCTCCCATTGTGTGACTCCTGCAACCTAGAAGGCATGGGTGAGATGCTAGGGGAAGTAGGATTACTGGGTGCCAGAGCTGGCAAGGAGCTCTGAGGTGTTCTAGTTCAGGCCCTTTCATTCTGTGCTCACTCCTACTCCCTGAGGCCTTGGGTACATCCCCTCCATGGGGCTGACCCTGTGGCATAGGTTCCGGTCGGCTGACATTTCTCAGTTGCTCACTGCCTTCTCCTCTCACCAACTCCCCAGATTCCAATTCAGAAGAGGCCCTTCCCACGTCAGTGAAAAACAAGTACGAAGTCATGGATTTTGACAGCTTACTGAAGGAGGCCCAGCAGAGCCTGCATTGATAACAGCCTTAACCTTCGAGGAATACCTCAATACCTCAGACAAGGCCCTTCCAATATGTTTACGTTTTCAAAGAAATTAAGTCTATGAGAAGGAGAGCAAGCGAGCGCGAGAGAACACACGTGAGAGAGAGGAGAGAGAGAGAGAGAGACTTGAAACTGCTGTCCCTTTAAAAAAAAAATCAATGTTTACATTGAACAAAGCTGCTTCTGTCTGTGAGTTTCCATGGTGTTGACGTTCCACTGCCACATTAGTCTCCTTGCTTCTGATGGGTTGTCCTGGGTGCCCCTCTAAGTGCTGGGTCAGCCACCCGTTCCCCTCCCTTCCCAACTGACTTCCCCTCGTAGACTTGCAGCCATGTTCCCCCATAACATTTCTTGTCTGTAGTGTGTGATGATGAAATTGTTACTTGTGAATAGAATCAGGATTATAAACTCATTTTTAATTGAAGAAAAAAAAAAGTATATCCTTAAAATAATGTATTTATGGCTCAGATGTCTGTGCCTGGGATTATTGTATTGCTTCCTTGATTTCTTAACTATGCACTGTCATGAGGTGTTTGCCACTGAGCTGCTCTACTCCCCTTGCCAGACTGCCCTAGAGATGTAGGCTGGTCCCCAAGGCATTGCAGCCTGAAGCCACACTTAGGAGCTGTAGAGAGAGCTTCCTAGCCTTCCCAGTTCCCCCACTCCAAGCTCCGCCCTGTCTGATTGAGCAAGTTCAGGTCAAATGACAGTCAGTTGCCATCCTGTGCCCAGCTCACATTTAGAGACTATGTTCTTATCCATTAGTGCTACAGGGTGAACTGTGTTGTGCCTGTTTTCCAGGTGAAGACTTTTCCAAGGTCCCACAGCCAGGGAGAGGGCCGAGCACTGACCCAGGCCAAGTCACCTGACTCTTGGCTCTGTGCTTCTCTAGACAGATGTATAGTGTCAGCCACTGGTAGAGGCAAGTTCAGCTAAGTTGGGCAATAGATTTGAAGCCCAAGGACTTATTTTAGGGGTTTAAGTCAACAGCTGACTTCCCAAATTTAGGAGAGTTCAAATTCTGGTGCATGTCCTTGGGCTTACCATCAGTTTGGCGTGGTACTGTGGTTCACCTGCCCATGGACTTCCATCAAAGCTGCCATGACTCACCTGGCAGTGGTACAGTCTGAGAACAAACATCCTTTTTTTGGTAGCCAACCAAACCATCCATTGTCTTTGCCTATCCTCATGTGTAAAACTGTTTAGAGGAAGAGGGGCAGACAGGGGAAGCCAGGATGTGTGGGTGGTGGATGGGAAAATAATCTCCAAGTTCCTTTCTAATTTAGGAAGCATTCTAATTGGGCTTTCCTTAGAACTTTGTAAGTGAGGCTGGAGGTCCTTCAGGGGCCTTGGGGTGCCGTTCATGAAGGAAGCATGGCCAGACAGGGTACGATGAGCACATTGCTTCTGCTTCCCACAGAACAGCTTCCCATACATCAGAATTTCTTGGGAAGTTTTTGTACTAAAAGGAGAAAAAAAAAAAGAAAAAGGTCCTGCAGCTTGAAAAAAGTTCACAAGTGACTCATTAAACTGAACAAACTCATTGAATCTGTTGTTAAAGCCAGACCTAATCCTTTAAGAATTATTGTTGGTTTTGTTTTGTTTTTATGATTATCAAATACCTCAGTGAGTGAGCACTAGTCTGGGATGGTGAACATACTCCAGGTTCACATAGAAGGGTTTGGAAGAAATAGAAAATTTGAATTCTGTGGGTCACATCAGTTGAGCTCTCTGGGCCTCAGTTTCCTTTTCTGTGAAATGAATTTGGGGAAGGGGTCCTACGTAGATGGATGTCTAAGGTCCCTGCCTAGCAGCTCTAAGAATCTTTAGCCTTTTCTACTAAAGCAATGTCTAGTTCAAGATGACAAACGGATGGATGGTACATGTGCCTCTACTTTCATGTCTTGGACATGGCAGACATAACTAAAGGATCACAGCACTCATGGTCTTTGAGTCTGGACATCTTAGAATCCTCAACACAGTGCTGTGGACAGCCATTACTAATTGATCAGAGCTTAAGAGTTTTGACATCCTGGTCTGGTCTCTGAAAGGTTTCAATCACGCAGAACGATATTTTCTCTGGGTTTTAGTAATCCACAAGTCTGCAGTGGCCTGATCTATGAGAGGACATTCTCTTAGGCCCATTCCTTGTATGAGAATCCCAATGCCACTGCCACACATGCCCATGAGGTGTGTGGGGGGTGGGCAGAGGGGACAACAGTCATTGACATGTTTGGGGAAGGCAGAGCTTGTAAGGATGGTCCACAAAGGGACTATCCACAATCCAGATATGAACATTCTCTCACACCTATTCACCACCAAGCCTACAATAATTGGGGATGAAATGGAATGAGAAAGAATTGGAATTCTTCTCCTGCCTCCTATAGATCCTGATTTGCAGCAAGGAGTACCATGGAAGCCAGTAGGAAAAGACAATAAATTCAGAGTCGGGAGCACTAGCCCCTGACTCCACCAACTGACTTCGTGATAAATCTCTTCCCCTGTCTGCCGCCTCAGTGTGCTAGAGGGAATTGGACTGGATGGTCACTGAGTCCCTCCTATTTGCTGCTTCTTCCTTGATTGCTTCTTCTTGGGTCAGCTGAATCTTCCCCTTAATTTCAGATTAACACAGGACACTCAAAGTTACTTAGATGTTTGTTGGCCCTTGAGCAGAGCAGAAGACCTGAGTCTGGCATTAAGACACGATGTATCTAAGGTCAGGGCTGGGGTGGCTGGTTGAAGAAGATGCCACTCAGGGTTTTGCTTCGGGTCTTAGTCTCCAACCAATACATAAAAGGTTACAGGCTCTCGAATTGATGAACCCTGCAGACAGTCACTGTTCATAAGACTCATTCGGTGCTGTGCATTCTTCAGCAAGGAGACTCCAAGGTCTCCCCAGGAAAACCAATCAACCTTGGCCTCTTTCCCACCAAATTAAGGAAGCGCCCAGAGGGAGCAGCTGCCTTTGGCAACCATCTCATGGTAGCTCTGTCCTAGTATTTGCTCTCGATGATGTTTACATGTGATTGCCATAAAAGCTTACTGTAGACTGTGTCGATTGGCGCCCTCGCCGGGCAGGTTGTACCGTCCATCTCTGTGCCGTGCTGGTATTTTCCAAACATGTCTAATCCAACCGCCAAGTGGAATTCTTCCATCTCCTTCCTCAGTCGATACAGGCTGAATCAGAGTCCTCACTCTTGGGGGCTCTGGTTACCGAAGGAAAATGCATCAAAGAGGTAAAGAATATGAGTGGATGGAGTGTAGCTAAGGCCCCCACATCCCTTACCCCAGCACTTTTTGCAAGTCTGAATCACCTCAAAATCTCACAGCATGGTGTCTTAGGGGCTCAGGAGACAGGCAGGCCTTCGGGATGAGGGATGCTCTGAACTTTAAAGATTCAGGACTTGATCCTGACATGGGCAGAAATTCAGGAACATATATGTTGCATTGCCTGTTTTGAGAGCGAGTTCTCCTGGACAAAAACAGCACATGCAGAGAAAGCTGTGCAGGTGGCAGGCAAGAGCATCAGCAGCCAGGGCCATGTCCTTGTCCAGGCCTTGGACTCAGCTGAAATCCCAGCTGAACCTGCAGCCTGGGAAGTGGGTCATCCCAGCTGTAAAGCAGAATCAAGCCTGTAGGTCTGTGGATACGATTCATTGAAATCAAAATTGCAGTGTTTTTCTTCACATACGAGATTTAGCAGCTGCCCTCACTTTGGGGGAAAATTCCATATCCTAGCTTTAGATATGACCAAAGAAAGGCAATGGATGGATATATAGTAGTAAGTAGAGTCAACCTGGATATTACAGATGCTGAACTGCTAACCTAAAGGTAGGAGCTTTAAGTTCGCCCAGAGATAGCTCAGAAGAAAAGCCTGGCAACCTACTTCCAAAACATCAGTCATGGCAAACCCTACGGGGCACAGTTCTACTCTGATACACATGGGGTCTCCATGAGTTGGAGTTGACAGTTCGTATCAGTTTTCTTGGTCCCTTCCCTCCTGAGCAGAAGAAATAGATTAGTATTCAAGTGCAATATATAAAACTTAGTTCCTAGGTCCCCAAGGCATTTGTACACGTAGGTGGGCTCCAGGGCAGTTTGCCAAGTCTGGAGGGGCAGGGTAAGTGGTGGGAGAGCTACTGCAGGACACCCAGAAAGTAGCCAGGAAGACTGTGTGTTCAACCAATAGAAGCACTTTGAGAAACAGAACACCTCAGCCTGGCTCCCTGTTTCTGTCCTGGCAAATATGGGTCTCCTTTGGCCTTGTGAGATCCACTTCCAGGGATTACCAGAGGGTGCCCCGCAGGGAGCTAGTGTGGGGGAGGGGGAGCAGAGATGTTTTCCAAGATGGCAGCAGCAGGAGAACTGACCCTTGAGCCAGTCCCCTGCTGACCTCATTGTTGGATGCCTTAGAAACAGGGTTTAGATCTTGGTATGCACTTTTGTAGAAATAAATAAATGAAAACAGCCCAGCTAACTGGATTGGGTATGTAGGGTAAATCATTTAACTATAAGCCATCTCAGACTGAGAAACCTCAACGCACAAGGACTTGTTTCTCATTTGCTCCTCAGACCTCTGTTTACCCATCTAACAAATTCAGTTGTTGATTGGATGGGCACTAACGTCCCTTCCACCTCTTTCTTATAGGCTCAGATTCCCCTCCTGGTGCACCAGGAAACCTGTTAAACCAATTCCACACTCTGGCTGTGCCTGGCTCATATTCAGGGTGGGCATGTTCTCTGCAAGGACACCAGTGGCGGCAGATTCCGATGCACACGGTTCTGGCCCAGCTACCTTTTATGAGGCGGCTGCCTTCCCAGGACAGACCTAAGCCATAGTTTTCAGTGGGGATCGTGAGACATCAGACCCTAGCTTGACTAGGTGGCAGTGTCAAATCTCACCCTAGCCTCATCATCATCCATGCGAAACAGCTTTTAATCCGAATGTTGTGACCACTTGGCTGTATCTCTCTTGC